TAGATACTGAAACGGGATTTTCTGTATGATTCTGATATTTTGATTAATTAGACTTTCTTTTGAGATATCAGACATGAAAATATCTCAATTAACACAGAAGTTATCCAAAAAATGATTTAAATTGCTATTTTGTCGATTTTAATCCATGCTAAGTAACCAAATCCTAAACATTCTAGATACTGAAACGTGATTTTCTGTATGATTCTGATATTTCGATTAATTTTGCTTTCTTTTGAGATATCAGTCATCAAAATATCTCGATTAACACAGAAGTTATCCAAAAAATGATTTAAATCTCTATTTTGTCGATTTCAAGCTGTGCTAAGTAATCATATCCCCAAAATAGTAGATACTGAAACGGGATTTTCTGCATGATTCTGATATTTCGATTAATTTGGCTTTCTTTTGAGATATCAGTCATCAAAATATGTCGATTAACACAGAAGTTATCTAAAAAATGATTTAAATCTCTATTTTGTCGATTTCAAGCTATGCTAAGTAATCATATCCCAAAAATAGTAGATACTGAAACGGGATTTTCTGTATGATTTTGAAATTTTGATAAATTGGGCTTTCTTTTGAAATATCATTCATCAAAATATCTCAATTAACATAAGAGTTATCCAAAATATAATATAAATTTCCATTTTGTCGATTTCAAGCTATGCTAAGTAACCAAATCCTAAAAAATCTAGATACTGAAACGGAATTTTCTGTGTGATTCTGATATTTTGATTAATTGGGCTTTCTTTTGAGATATAAGTCATCACAATATCTCAATTAACACAGAAGTTATCCAAAAAATGATTTAATATTTTGTCGATTTCAAGCTATGCTAAGTAACCACATCCTAAAAATTCTAGATACTGAAACGGAATTTTCTGTATGATTCTGATATTTTGATTAATTGGGCTTTCTTTTGAGATATCATTCGTCAAAATATTTCAATTAACATAGAAGTTATCCAAAGAATGATTTAAATTCCTATTTTGTCGATTTCAAGCTATGCTAAGTAAGCAAATCCAAAAAATGTTATATATTGAAACGAGATTTTCTGTATGATTGTGATATTTTGATTAATTGGGCTTTCTTTTGAGATATAAGTGATCACAATATCTCAATTAACTCAGAAGTTATCCAAAAAATGATTTAGAAATCTATTTTGTCGATTTCAAGCTATGCTAAGTAACCAAATCCTAAAAATTCTAGATACTGAAATGAGATTTTCTGTATGATTTTGATATTTTGATTAATTGGTCTTTCTTTTGAGATATCAATCATGAAGATGTTTCAGTTAACAAAGAAGTTATCCAAAAAATGATTTAATCACTATTTTGTCGATTTCAAGCTATGCTAAGTAACCAAATCCTAAAAATTCTAGATATTGAAACGGGATTTTCTGTATGATTCTGATATTTTGATTAATTGGGCTTTCTTGTGAGATATCATTCATCAAAATATTTCAATTAACACAGAAGTTATCCAAAAAATGATTTAATCTCTATTTTGTCAATTTCAAGCTATGCTAAGTAACCAAATCCTAAAAATTCTAGATACTGAAACGGGATTTTCTGTATGATTCTGATATTTTGATTGATTCGGCTTTCTTTTGAGATATTAATCATCAAAATATTTCAATTAACACAGAAGTTATCCAAAAAATGATTTAGAAATCTATTTTGTCGATTTCAAGCAATGCTAGGTAACCATATCTAAAAAATTCTAGATACTGAAACGGGATTTTCTGTATGATTCTGATATTTTGATTAATTGGGCTTTCTTTTGAGATATAAGTCATCACAATATCTCAATTAACACAGAAGTTATCCAAAAAATGATTTAATATTTTGTCGATTTCAAGCTATGCTAAGTAACCAAATCCTAAAAATTCTAGATACTGAAACGGGATTAATTGTGCTTTCTTTTGAGATATCAGTCATCAAAATATCTCGATTAACACAGAAGTTATCCAAAAAATGATTTAAATCTCTATTTTGTCGATTTCAAGCTGTGCTAAGTAATCATATCCCCAAAATAGTAGATACTGAAACGGGATTTTCTGCATGATTCTGATATTTCGATTAATTTGGCTTTCTTTTGAGATATCAGTCATCAAAATATGTCGATTAACACAGAAGTTATCTAAAAAATGATTTAAATCTCTATTTTGTCGATTTCAAGCTATGCTAAGTAATCATATCCCAAAAATAGTAGATACTGAAACGGGATTTTCTGTATGATTTTGAAATTTTGATAAATTGGGCTTTCTTTTGAAATATCATTCATCAAAATATCTCAATTAACATAAGAGTTATCCAAAATATAATATAAATTTCCATTTTGTCGATTTCAAGCTATGCTAAGTAACCAAATCCTAAAAAATCTAGATACTGAAACGGAATTTTCTGTGTGATTCTGATATTTTGATTAATTGGGCTTTCTTTTGAGATATAAGTCATCACAATATCTCAATTAACACAGAAGTTATCCAAAAAATATTTAAATCTCTATTTTGTCGATTTCAAGCTATGCTAAGTAACCAAATACTAAAAATTCTAGATACTAAAGTGAAATTTTCAGTATGATTGTAATATTTTGATTAATTTGGCTTCCTTTTGAGATATCAGTCATCAACATATTTCAATTAACACAGAAGTTATCAAAAAAATGATTTAGAAATGTATTTTGTGGATTTCAAGCTATGCTAAGTAACCAAGTCTTAACAATTCTAGATACTGAAACGGGATTTTCTGTACGATTCTGATATTTTGATTAATTGGGCTTTCTTTTGAGATATCAGACATCAATTAACACAGAAATTATCCAAAAAATAATTTACATATCTATTTTGTAGATTTCGAGCTGTGATAAGTAACCAAATCCTAAAAATTCTAGATACTGAAACAGAATTTTCTGTATGATTCTGATATTTTGATTAATTTAGCTTTTTTTGAGATATCAATGATCAAAATATCTCAATTAACGCAAATGTTATCCAAAAAATGATTTAAATCTCTATTTTGTAGATTTCAAGCTATACTTAGTAACCAAATCCTAAAAATTTTAGATACTGAAACGGGATTTTCTCTATGATTCTGATATTTTGATTAATTTAGCTTTCTTTCGAGATGTCAGTCATCAAAATATCTCAATTAACACAGAAGTTATCCAAAAAATGATTTAAATGGCTATTTTGTCGATTTTAATCCATGCTAAGTAACCAAATCCTAAACATTCTAGATACTGAAACGGGGTTTTCTGTATGATTCTGATATTTCGATTAATTTGGCTTTCTTTTGAGATATCAGTCATCAAAATATCTCGATTAACACAGAAGTTATCCAAAAAATGATTTAAATCTTCGTTTTGTCGATTTGAAGCTATGCTATGTAACCAAATCCTAAAAATTCTAAATACTGAAACGGGATTTTCTGTATGATGACGAATTTCTAATTAATTGGGCTTTCTTTTGAGATATCAGTCATCAAGATATCTCAATTCATTTAGAAGATATCCAAAAGATGATTCAAAAAAATTCGCAAATTTGAAAATATGATGAATATATACAAAAGCATATTACAAAAAAAACTTTTGCACAATAGTTGTAGCAAATTTTATTCTTAACAGTATTGCTCTCCTTCACTTTTGTTGTCATATGCGTCAATATCGAGAAAAATGCGAAAATATGAAAAATTGATGAATTTCGTTGCTTTTTCAAGTTATTAATGGTGAGTCGGAAATCGGAGCACTTTCGAATCAAATTGAAGTTTTGAAAATCGGCAGNTCTTTTGAGATATAAGTCATCACAATATCTCAATTAACACAGAAGTTATCCAAAAAATGATTTAATATTTTGTCGATTTCAAGCTATGCTAAGTAACCAAATCCTTAAAATTCTGGATACTAAAACGGGATTTTCAGTATGATTCTGATATTTTGATTGATTGGGCTTTCTCTTAAGATCAAAGCTGATCCAGCTGTGGTCTGACCTTGAGACCAAGTCAAAGACTTTCCAGTTGTGGATTTTATGAGAAATACTCATCGAGGCCTAAATAATGTCAATAACTAATGGACTTCTGGCAGTAACAAAAGTTGGATCTGAGCTCCGATTAAGTAAATTAAGATTGCTATTGAAAATAAAGTCTAAAAGTGATTTGATCTGTTGTGCACGAAATTCCAGTTCTTTCAAACTAAAGTTGAAAATATTTTGCGATCTAATTTAGACATTCTATTGGCATCATGCTGTTTATGATTCTTTACGATCAAAAATCAATCTTTACAAAACAGATGCAGAAAAAAGTTGATATTTGTTGACTAACTTTAAAAAGATGTCTAGTAATCAAGATATTTATTAAGAAAATTTTCGGAAAAGTGAAGAAAAACGTAAAGGAATGTTGTTGTAATTTTAAATCACGTTTTAAGTTCGAGTCGATATAAATTTCGTAGAATTTCTAAAACGTCGATTGAAAATAAACTATATTTAAATAAGCTAACGAGAGACGTTCAAAAAATAACATCAAAAAGGTTATTTTGGAACCTTTTAACTTGTGTGTTTCATATTTTTAATGTGAAAAAATAAAAATTAAAGATTCATAAATTAAAGATAATAAATAAAATTCGAATAATCCGCATAATAAAATTGTTTTTAAACATTTCCGTGGCACAAACAAGCGAATAAATCAAGACAAAATTTCAGATTATCACAATTTCCCCCCGTTTCGAGAAACTCACTCTCTTTTGCGTTACTTTTAATTCCTTTTGTTATCCCAGTAGAGGATTTATCTCCGCGAATTTAAGCATCCGGGTTTTGCTCTAATTGAACCTGGGATTTATAAGTGGAAACCAAAACCGGAACTTCACTCCCATTTATTCAAACTTTAAATTCAAAGCAATTTCAGACTGTTCAAATTTTACTCTAAGCGTTTGTGTCGTTTAATTATGCCATTTTTAATTCGTTCTTTTTTGATTTCTCTTTTTTTTTGTTGTAGATGATTGAAAAATTGGTGGAGCGATGAAATCTCTTCGCGAAGGAAAATGGATGGCGAAAACCGAATCATTTTAAACGTCGGCGGAATTCGCTACGAAACGTACAAAGCGACGTTAAAAAAAATTCCTGCTACACGATTATCGCGATTAACAGAGGCTTTAGCTAATTATGATCCTGTTTTAAATGAGTATTTTTTTGATAGACATCCTGGAGTATTCGCACAAATTTTAAATTATTATAGGCAAGTACAATTTTACTTTTACAGTGTTTTCAAAAAATCATCATAAATAGAGGTATTAATGAATCGATATGAAATTATCATCGTTTATAAAAGAAATTATAAACTTTCAAATGAAACAAACCGCTTTTCAAAATACCTTTTAGTTATTTAGATATTAATTTTTAAACTCAATGACATTTCTCCACATTTTAGGTTAAGCTTAATTCTCAATCGTTTCTTAAAAAAATCGTAATAAAGCGATTTACTTAGACATGTTTCTTCAACATCCAGGATTTATATAAAAAAGTATCAGCTTTTTAATGAAACCAACCGTTTTTGAAAATAACATTTAGTTATTGAGATAAAAATGTTTAAACACAACACTATTTATTCTCGTTTTTAAGGTAAACAATTTTCTTGAGTTGTTTTCAAAAAATCATCATAAATAGAGGTTTTAATGAATCGATATGAAATTATCATCCTTTATAAAGAAAATTATAAGCTTTCAAATGAAACAAACCGCTTTTCAAAATACCTTTTAGTTATTTAGATATTAATTTTTAAACTCAATGACACTTCTCCACATTTTAGGTTAATCTTAATTATCAACCGTTTTTTTAAAAAATCGTAATAAAGCGATTTATTTAAACATGATTCTCCAACATTCAGGATTTATATAAAAAAGTATCAGCTTTTTAATGAAACCAACCGTTTTTGAAAATAGCATTTAGTTATTGAGATAAAAATGTTTAAACATAACACTATTTATTCTCGTTTTTAAGGTAAACAATTTTCTTGTGTTGTTTTCAAAAAATCATCATAAATAGAGGTTTTAATGAATCGATATGAAATTATCAGCATTTATAAAAGAAATTATAAACTTTCAAATGAAATAAACCGCTTTTCAAAACACCTTTTAGTTATTTAGATATTAATTCTTAAACTCAATGATATTTCTCCACATTTTAGGTTAAGCTTAATTATAAATCGTTTTTTAAAAAAATCGTAATAAAGCGATTTACTTAGACATGATTCTCCAACATTCAGGATTTATATAAAAAAGTATCAGCTTTTTAATGAAACCAACCGTTTTTGAAAATAACATTTAGTTATTGAGATAAAAATGTTTAAACACAACACTATTTATTCTCGTTNTATTGCTCTCCTTCACTTTTGTTGTCATATGCGTCAATATCGAGAAAAATGCGAAAATATGAAAAATTGATGAATTTCGTTGCTTTTTCAAGTTATTAATGGTGAGTCGGAAATCGGAGCACTTTCGAATCAAATTGAAGTTTTGAAAATCAGCAGATTAAGTCGTATATCGGTAAATCCACCGTTAATCACGGTTAGAAAACGACTCTTCATCTTTGCATCTAGATGAAGCAAATTCCATTTTTGTAATCGAGATTTTAATAGGTCAGACTGCTTTTTTCATCATTTTAAGTCGCGAACCAGATCGTTAAAATCAGCTTGAATTAGTAAATGAGGTTTCACTATGAAATTATATTTATCTGATGAAACTTAAAACTTTTTCTGTGTAGCATTAAAAAAAATCGTTATAAATAGTCGTTTTAATTAAATCATCATCAATTATAAAGGAAATTATAAGTTAATTTCAATTGTATTAAGGTGTAACTCTAAATTGTGATAATTCCAGCTTTGATATAAAAAAAAAAATTAATTTAATTTTGATTTATTTCTGTAAAAAGACAGTCTCACCGACGATGTTATCTCGTTAGCGTAGGGGGAAAATTTTAACAACCACCCTCCAATTATAAGCGAAGAAAATATCTTTTTTTTAAAAAAAAAATTTAACACACGATATTAAAGAGTGCAATTTTCGCATCTTTTGCAACTTTGTAAAAGAAATGTCTTTGACAAGTTCTAATTTAAATCGGTACAAAAAAAGATTTGATTAAATTCCATTTAACGATTGCCAATAAACTCAAAAAGCTCAAATACGAGTACATTTCCCGACAATTTTTATTCAATTTCTTTATTTTTGCTTCGAAAGCGGAAGACGTGAAGATTCCACCTTTCATTTCGTTATTTTAAAACCTCGTTACGTTCCAATTTCCGATACGATAAGAATCCATTATTTCTATTCCATTGAAAAGAAAAAACGAGCTAATCTAATTTAATTTTTAGGACGGGAAAATTGCATTATCCCACGAACGTTTGTGGTCCCCTTTTTGAGGAAGAATTGGAGTTTTGGGGCCTTGACTCCAATCAAGTGGAACCTTGTTGCTGGAGCACGTACAGCATACATCGCGATACACAGGTAGGGAGTGAATATTTAAAATTTAAAAGCTCCCAAAAGGAGCTTTGCATGTTTACTTACTCGGAGATTTATTACACTTCCGGATTGAATTTAAATTTAGATGTTACTCTATTTTTAGGATTATTTTATTACCCTTTATTGAAATCACGCTGAGTTTGATGCATTATCGCCGCAGTTGGTGAGTGATGAAAGAGGAAAATAAACAGAAAAAAAAGGGTGCCAATCGAACTAAAACCCAACAAAACCCCCACAACTGGTTGTTATTTAGTTATCCCGTTTAGTTTAATCGAATAAAACCCGGATTTGCAATTCTCCCGTTCATCCGGCGCTTTAATTTCCCAACTCGTCGATTTTAGCCCTAAATTGGTATCTCGAGTTGTCGATGTGTGTCGAAAAAGAGCTGGTAATCAATCAAAAAGCGAGAGTAAATCATTTTTCGAATTAATCAATTTGTCAGAATATAAAAATAGAATTAAAATTTAAATAGAATCGAGATTATATTGTTTTAAAAAGAAATCAATCTCGAATCTCTTAAAGTGCTATCTTAAAGTATATTAGTAGTATTAGTATTATTCCTTTGATTTATCAAACTCAGTCCGGTTTATATCTCAAAGTACTTTTATGACATTTAAAATTACAAAGTTTGCCAAATTTTTTACATTTGCACTTATCAGACTCGCATTATCCCTTACAAACACCTCGCTGATATCCTTGAACTCCAGAAATGACTTTCTAACGCATTCTCGAAGTGATATTGCTAGATCTGGAACATCGTCAAAAAAGTCTTTCTTGTTTCGTTCCTAACTGACAAAACTCTTGCTCTGTCAACGTGTCGTAGTTTCATTGTGTCACCAACTTTACCAGCAGGAAATTTAAGATTTGAATCCATCAACATTTCCTTTGCCTGTAATTCTAAACCTTTTCTAGCACTCATTCTATGTTTCCTTACTTGCTCTCAGCGTTGCCAATCAATAGTAAAAAATCGGTAGGTTTAAATACAAAGTCAGAAAATGTTGTTTGATAAAAGTTGTTAAGTGCTACTTAACAATATTGCTCTTAGATGGGTCAATATCAAGCAAAATACAAAAATATGAAAATTTGTTTCTTTTTCCAGTTATTATAGATAACGATTAGGAATCGAAGCGTGTTACAAAAAAACTTTTATAACAAAAATTGTTGCAAATTTTATTGTTCACAATATTGATCTCTTGCACTTTTGCTCTTAGATACGTCAATATCGAGATAAATACGAAAATATGAAAATTTTATAAATTTGTTGCTCTTTCAAGTTATGAAAAGTAACACTTGGGAATCGAAGCTTGCTATAAGAAAACTTTTATAACAAAAATTGTTGCAAATTTTATTGTCAACAATATTGCTCTCTTGCACTTTTGCTCTTAGATACGTCAATATCGAGATAAATACAAGAATATGAAAATTTGATGAATTTGTTGCTCTTTCAAGATATTAAAGGTAACACTTGGGAATCGGAGCATGCTATAAGAAATCTTTTTAACAAAGATTATTGCAAATTTTATTATCAACAATATTGCTCTCTTGCACTTTTGTTCTTAGATATGTCAACATCGAGATACATACGAAAATATGAAAATTTTATGAATTTGTTGCTCCCTCAAGCTATTAAAGGTAATACTTGGAAATCGAAGCATGCTATAAGAAATCCTTTATAACAAAAATTATTGCAAATTTTATTGTTAACAATATTGCTCCCTTGCACTTTTGCTCTTAGATACGTCAATATGGAGATAGATACGAAAACATGAAAATTTTATAAATTTATTGCTCTTTCAAGTTATTAAAGATAAAATTTGGGAATTGAAGCTTGCTTTAAGAAAACTTTTATAACAAAAATTGTTGCAAATTTTATTGTTAACAATATTGCTTCCTTGCACTTTTGCTCTTAGATACGTCAATATGGAGAAAGAAACGAAAATATTAAAATTTTATAAATTTGTTGCTCTTTCAAGTTATGAAAAGTAACACTTGGGAATCGAAGCTTGCTATAAGAAAACTTTTATAACAAAAATTGTTGCAAATTTTATTGTTAACAATATTGCTCTCTTGCACTTTTGCTCTTAGAT